CTGATCTTGGCACTAGAACCCGAAGCTGCAGCCGTTCATTGTATGCACCTCTCTTCACAAGAGAAGGCCAGTATGGATTTTCTGGGGGATGTAGGAGACAAATTCATGGTTGTAGACTTGGGAGGTTAGTAAATGTAAACTTTATCAAAACATTCGTGTACTAAATCCAGGTTTACATGAAACAGAACAATGTTAATAATAATGTCAGAACATACACAAACTATTGCGTTTTAAATTTTAATTTTATACCCTACAGAGTAGAATACTAAATTAACTAAATATGATTATGTGGGGGAGCTGGGTAAAGGCTTATGTCAGATTTCTATTGATGTGGAATAGTAGACTATGTTCTCAAAAGTGTATTATTTGTAAGAAAACAAGACAAAAATTTATTTGTCAATTATAACATATTCTCTTCTGTTGAAGGTGGCACAGTTGATATAACTGCGTTTGAAGTTATTGATGATGGTTGTCTGAAGCAGATTACCAGAGCAAATGGCGGACCGTGGGGTGGTCAGAGAATAAATGACTCCTTTTCCCAATTGGTCAGAGATGTCTTTCAAACGGAAGATGGGAAATCAGCTTTTGCAAGCTGCAAACGCGCTGATCTCTTAAAAATGGAGCAAGAATTCGAGCAGCAGAAAGTTAATATACTGGATGAAACACCACGCGGTGAAGAATGGATCAAACTTCCCCTTCCGGCTGACATCTGGGATGAAATTAAGGGTCACATCAAAGTGAACCCAATCAAGTATTCTAAATATTTCGACAAGCAACGAACGGGCTTAGTCCTCAAACCAAACGTTATTGCCAAAGAATCATTTGGCGAAACGATTTCCCAGATAGTCAAACATCTTCAAGCGGTATTTCGTGAGGCATCAGTTCAAGATATCAGGAAAATTGTGTTGGTAGGAGGTTTTGCTGAGGCACCAATCGTGCGTGAAAAGATCCAGGAGGGTTTGTCAGGAAAGCATATATTTGTACCGACAAATCCTTTCTACGCCGTTCTCAGAGGAGCCGTTCTGTATGGTCATAATCCTGACATCTTCAAGAGCAGGATCTCTCGATTTACATACGGTATATGTGTACTGAGTCCATTTGATCCTTCAAAGCACGATGAGAGCAGAAAGACAAGAAAGGGAGATGGGACGTATTTGTGTAAAGATATCTTCGATGTTCTTGTAAAAAGAGACCAGATAGTGGCATTGAACGTGGAACAGCCAACAATGATATATCATCCACATAATGAAGACCAAACCAAAGTTCCGCTTAAGATTTATCAGTCTGAATCCCAAAACCCGATTTACGTCACTGACAAAGGATGCAAAAAACTTGGAACCCTAATCGTTGAAATGCCTGACACGACTGGCGGATGCAATAGGAAAATCGAAGTGACAATGATATACGGAGGTACGGAATTGGGGGTCAAAGCGATTGATAAAAATACAGGAAAAGAATTCAAGACGGAAATTGCTTTTGACAGGTATTCATCTTGACAGAAGCTCTGTTCAAATGCAAGACACTTTGAAGATTATATATATATATATATATATATATATATATATATATATATATATATATATATATATATATATATATATATATATATATTATATGCACTTGTCAATGTGTGTGTAGTCCGTATCACTTTTCAGGCAATTTTTGTTATGACAAAGATTCCCCGGGGTACTATCCTAGAGAAAATAAGGTACGGTGTACATTATAGATTTCCGCAAAAAAGCATATGTATCTCCAGTTTCATATTCAAAAACTATTTATCTATTGCATTATCCTTTATATAAGCTATGATCGGGACCAATTATATTTGTTTTATTGTAATTGTTATATCTAGAGCAAATGCATTTTCATTTTACACTTTTATTTTACTTTGCATCTTTGCACCTTTACATAGTGCACTCTGCCACAGCAGAGTGGTTTCATCCTTGGGAAAAATATTTAAAGAACAGGATTCATCACTGTGGAAAAAGAGTGAACAGTGATCCATATTCGTATGAACCATGTTCATTTATGTAATCATATGGTCTTGCAATCTGCCTCAGAAACTATGAACTATATTGATTCACTACCACTGTAAAAATGTTATAAGCATCACAGACCCAACCTAAAACTTAATCAACTTTAGTTGCTGTGGTTGTTTCATTATTTTCCTTTGAGAAAGATTTAATTATACGTTTAAATTTATCTTCAAAATTTAAATGTTTAAAAGTCTATGATAAGTAAATTTACCATTGTTCTATTAGATGCATATTGTCGTGAAATTGAGATTTTACTGAATTGAAAAGTTTTATAATTAAGGAGAGCGTATAAAAAATATACACTTATTTCCCACTTAGTTTTTGAATAATTTATTAAGTATCACGAATTTATCAATTAATGAGAATTATACAAAATCCTAGAATTTTAAGTTTCCAAATAAGTTCAACATTATCAAAAAGGTGTTCCATCTGATAACCAATGTTTAATTATTACTCTTTTACAGTTATTGTCCAAAAATTTATACGATAGTTTAATTTAATGATATCAGCCTTTGAAAAAAATGGCATTGTTGGAATATATATATATATATATATATATATATATATATATATATATATATATATATATATATATATATGTGTGTGTGTGTGTGTGTGTCAGATGACACTTTGTATATAAACAGATTTTAGTACAAAGTTATTTGTACCTGTTGTGACATCGATCTTGGGAATCTATAATCAGAGTTTGTATTTTAGTTCAGTTAAAACTTTTAGAGCAATCACTGTTTAGATTATTAATTAGAATTATTAAGTACTCATTGACGTTTTAGACTTAAACACTTCATTGAGGTTATTGTGAAAGATTTTAAAAGATATTGTTTATTATACAAAACTGATTTATCAAAATTATTGGTACACATCACGACATTTAAAACTTTAAATTCTTTCAGAACATTCTATACTTTCCGACTTGTGTAAAGACATTAATATTATTTGCAATTTAATTCTCAATGCATAAAATTCCTTTTAAATTTGCACTTTATAACTTATAGAGAAAAAATATATTTGTTAATTTTACTAACGTTGTAGGTTTGGAAGTTTCTGTGACATAAGTTTATTGTCATATAGTAGTAATAATATAATATTTTAGACTGCAACTTACCGGTAAGCAACATTATTTACACAAACCCGTCCCTTAAAAGAAACACAGTTTTACGTGCGGTTGGCAATAATGGGTGAATGGCATATTCACATATCACGTATAGCACGTGATGAGCTTAAAGTTTCAATTTCACATTAAAACTTGTCTTTAAAATATTCGGGAACAGTCTGGTTAATGGAAACTAAATATATATATATATATATATATATATATATATATATATATATATATATATATATATATATATATATATATATATATATATAAAGAATACAAATCATATGGCGAATAACAACCCTCTCAAGCGTACTGGATCCACCAAGGGATCACGTTTGTCAGGGATTAATTAAAATAGATGCAATAAACTGACAACGAACAGTACGAAACTAGTAACTAACTAGCCTAAGCGCTTTCGACTCTTAATGAGTCTTTTTCAAAGGCAAATACAAAACATAGTTACGACAAACAAATAAACACAAAAACGTTGTGTTTGTAAACCTCTACATTTCTATCTTCACATGTGCTAAAACTATAAATACAACCAGCTTGTATAGACTAGTTGCGGAAACTGAAAACGTTGTATAATTCCCTAAAAGTCTACAAGCCAAAGCGACATCTATTTTTACTTTGTGTACATATGTAACGCAGATTATATCCCGGATATTTGATTCTATACCGGTTATTCTTATAGTAAAAATTGAAGGATAATAAGAAGATTTAGAAAATGTTAAATTCCACTAGTGCATAGTTTTCATTTTCTAGTCTTCTTGGTTTAGACCGCTTGGTTTCAATGTTCTAAGGCGGCGTATCCAGTATGATTCCTTTTCCTTCCTGGTTTCGGAACTCCACCTGTGGTTGTTAGCAATAGCGATAAGTATTATATCACTGAAAGTGTGGCCAGGGGAGGAGAAGTGTTCTGCGACCGGGCTTCTGTACAGCTTTTTTGTCATCCAATCAGATCTATGAAGGTTTATCCTTTTGTGTAGCTTTTCAGTTTCTCCCACGTACTGAAGGCCACAGATCTTACATGTGATGAGATAAATCACATTCTCTGTTTTGCACGTTTTGTTTGGACCATGTATGTTTAGTTTTTCTTTAGTCACTGTGCTAGTGAATGTCTTGGTCTCTATCATATGTTGACAGGTTTTGCATCTTTTATCGCCACAGGGTCCAGATTGACTAGGTTGGTTTTGACTAGCGATTGTTGTTAGCTTGGCCCTGACTAGGATGTCCTTTAGGTTTTTTGGTCTCCGGTAAGCTACTACAGGTTTGTTCGGAAGTATTAGGTTTAGTATGTCTGACGATTGCACGGTTGGCCAGTGGTTTGCGATGATTTTACCTACTTTGGGATTGTCTGGGTGATAGGTCAGAATAAATGGTATCCTATCAACCTTTTCTTTCTGTCCATATCTGAGTAGGTCATCACGGTTTGTTTGTTTGGCCCTTTGGATTGCCTCCGCAATCAGGTCTTTGTCGTAGCCTCGGTAAATTAAATGTTTAGCCAGCTCTTTAGACCTTTCTAGGAATCTTTCATCGTCGGAGCAAATTCTGCGTATCCTCAGTGCCTGGCTATATGGAATGTTCTTAATACAGTGTTTTGGATGACAGCTGGTTGGGAGAAGATACTGGTGTTTGTCGGTTGGTTTCGAGTATGGACAGAAAGAAAAGGTTGATAGGATACCATTTATTCTGACCTATCACCCAGACAATCCCAAAGTAGGTAAAATCATCGCAAACCACTGGCCAACCGTGCAATCGTCACCAGACCAACCAGTCCAAATACTAATCTTATAATTTGAGCGCCAAGCTGTTAGTATCATTTTTTTATAAGTCTTTTGGTATAACTCAGCCGGGGTTTGAACTCGCGACCTCCAGCATCCGTGACAGACGCTCTATCCACTAGGCCACCTGAGTGGTCTCTCCATATTGCAGTACACTGCATCAACGTCTGTAGACATAAAGGTATATAACTGGTTTTGTTAAAAGTTATTTCACGCACTCACTGCTAAATGGTGCACGATACTTAACTGAAAGAAATATGACACAATTATTACTATCAGTTTTAGTAATTTCATCACAATCCGAGTACCATCACCTCCAACCTGTATTGAATTGTGTATTACCAAAAGTCCTTAAGAACGTCCGACAAGTGCACACACTGAAGTATTCCACATAAAAGGGGATTAGTGATTAAAAACTCATAAAATGACCTGTGGGACGTCGGGCAAGGAAACTCACCCGACAGGAACAAGAATAAGTGTCCCCCTCCCCCAATTACGATATAGAATAGATAGGAGAAAGAAGATAAATTCTGATTAATCAGATCTCCACTGAAGATCTGATTTTAATGATATTGGAGAAGATTAGATTCTCCTATGTGGGTCTCACTCCTTGTAATCGTTGAGGTGAGATAGGGTACCAGGTTCAAACCGAGAGGAAAGCAATACTTACCTATAGATGATTAAAGATAGCAGATTTTCTCAAACTGTCTGGCGACCATTTATATACAGTTTGGAGTACACAGAATGATTACGTTACTCCATAAAAGACTACATTAAAGAATGGACCCAAACTTGTTCTCTGGAGTTGCGAGAAGTTACGAGATTGTTGCTTGAAATAAGAGAAGAATTTGCTAACATATGCGATTGTCTTTATGTAGCATCACAGAGGCTACTTACACGTTAGGTATTGGTTAAATTGTATCTGCTTCGCTGCTTTTTATTCTCATAAGTTCACAAACATGGGTCGTCAGAAACTAATTTTGACTTTATAGCTATTCTTGAGAATTCCACATAAGAACAATACATTTCTGCCAACACAATTTAATTTTAAAGATAAATCGTCATTAAAATAATATTTTGATTTTACTTTTCATGAATAGCGTACATTTTTTTGAATATATTTGCCCGATGGTTTACGAAAACAGACATACTAATAAAGTGGTACTTCCCAGATACAGTGATGTCTGTCATTATTTCCCCATTATAGGTTCGCTTCACTTATGGTTTCGAACCGATTTTATGAAGAAATAATGTACACTCGGCAGTTAAAATATCCATGTCACAAATGCAATTCCTATAAATACAAATTGCTATTTACATACTATTCTTTAAGGTTTATCGCACATAGTTATATGTTTTTGTCAATAAATGAAAGTGTGAGTGATAAAGCTAGTTGCTATCTTACTCGTCAATAATCTATCAAAACACATGCGTGGGAATGTGCAAGAACATATTTATTGGTGCTGATGAAATCAACATTAGCAATGTGATGGCTTAGTGCTTACATTTTGCTTTGAGCTACAACATAACATTGGATGCAACCTGGCAAAGCCGAGGTAACATCTCAAAAATTACTGTCACTCACTGTATGTCTATATAAAAAAATATCACAAGTCGAAATCATTTTCGCTTTCCTAACAGAAGAAGATACAGGAAAAGGCTTAATAGGTTGAAATATAATTAAATGACTCAACTGCTGAAAAGATATGGAAATGCATGTTTTAAAAGCTATTAAACTTTAGTCTGAATACAGACATTAATAAGAAAACTTGGACTCCTTCCCCGTGTTAACATTTTTTAATGTTTTTATTAAACCCTTTCAGCTTTATTTATGCAAAGTTTGGGAATAAAATAAAATAAATCTGTTGAACAGTTCTGTAAATTTTATGTCGTTTGAATAACGGTCTTTAAACATGACAAACCTTACTGAATATAGACGGTATAATTATGTATCGGTACTATACTTGATGTAAATTTTTGCATATATATATATATATATATATATATATATATATATATATATATATATATATATATATATATATAGGTAAAGGCACTTGATGACAAAGAGAGAGAATTTGCATGACTAGTATAAGACAACTACCTTGTAAATATGGGCTTGTTTCAAATATGGATATAAGAAAATATTGGTGATGTTGACTTATTGCTTGTGCAATTTAGAGTATAGTTAATGGATAGTAACTTCCAAGAGTGTCATAAGAAAGCAAATCGATCAAACATTTTAGGTAATTACAGGAATTAGGAAGGTCTTTTAGAATGAGAAATTATTTTTATGTTGGGCACTTCCTATGATGGTTGGTACAAGCAGAAAAATACATTATAGTGACAGTGAAGATTAATTCAAGTTTGTTCCGTAAAGTAATCAGATTTAAATGTCATTTAAATTGCTATTACAAATCTCCAACTCTTGAAATTGTGCGAGGTTAGTAATATGACTGGTCCCCCTGATGTCAGGATAACGTGACTGGGTGGGACATGATGCCATATTTCTGCACCTGGAAGGATGTAACAGACAGACATACAGGGAGAAGTGACAATGAGTTCAAGGTTTTATAAAACATTACCACAACATGTAGCCTTTGTTCAGCCTTGTATACGTTCCATCTCGTTCTGTCCACTCTCAAACATTTTGCAAACAGTATATACTTTACATTTATTGCATTTTCATGGTAAAAAAATATTACAATCGTTTCAAAATGTAGGAATAAAAAGCCTTGTGTTTGAAAGAGACAGAAAGGTGGATAAGAGTGTGTCTCTTGACTTACAAAAAAGAAGAAAAGAAAATATATCTGAATGCTTCTCTGATATAGAATTCTGACACATCGAATGCCTTCAATGATATAAACTTGTCAGAATCCGACGATCCTCGTAATGATGGATTTAGCAATCATCATGTGAAAATCAAACTAGGATGCAGTTTAGAAATGGCGGAATATTTTCATTTCGATATACTTTTGCAAGACAATCATTTGGTGACTGATATGGCTATACACCTGAAACTAAATCGAAGTAGTATTATTTTCCATTTGATGGCTAATGCTAATTAGTACGAATGGACATCGAAGTAGACAGAGTTTACGAGCACACTGTGTAGGCCTTACCTAAAGTTGAAAATCACATCAGTCAAACTGAGCAGAGTGACATCCAATTATCCTTTATGATTAGTGTAAGTCATAGAAGTCAAAACCTTCACCATTATATCTGGACTCTGATCCAAGATCGAAGATATATTTATTAAGGACAGCAACCGAAACGCTTGCTTACTGGTATCGCCTGCAATGCAGCCATCAACAGATCTATCAATCCATTTCCTTTTGAGTTCCAGCACTACAACGTGTCCAAAATAGACGTCATCGGAGATGGCCAGACTTTTGTGTACATGACCTTATGAACCAAACCTTGCCCATGAACATTACTTGACACTTTCCTTGACACTGTTTGTAGCTACATGAGACTTAGGTACCAATAACCGACACATTTTTTCGTAAGGCAGTAATGCAGAATAATATGCTATGTGTGGATTTGATTTCGTTCCAGACCAAGGCAGCGACTAGAGACATTTCCAAGCTATATAATCGGACCAACTTTACATGTGGAACTTCCGTTTGCAATAGCTATGGGCATAATGGTTAACGTCATCTTGTATGCAGCAATTGATAATTCTCTAAACATCGCCAGATTGTAAGAAGTGATATTGGAATATTAGAAGAAATAAATGAACAAGAGCCTAGTGACATAAACAATGGGGATATATTTTAACTATAATAAAACAACCGTTTTAATCCGTTTTAATATACGATTCCCACAGAAGTCTCCATTGGTGTCTAATAAAATAAGACGGGGTAATGTTAATGTCATGTTTTGTTTTCACTTGACACATATGCACAAATATATGCGCGAACAGTTGCTCAGAAGAAACTAAATTTAATGACCGGAAACTCAACGTTTGTATTTTCCCGATGTGAACGGTCTGCCAATCGTAACTTTTGTTAAAAATAACTGTTGAAAATAATAATGTAACTTATATTTTCTAGCGATAAACAAAATCATAAAGATTGACTTCTCGGTATCTGCAGCAGGGTAACTGAATTATCTCCATATACTTCTGTATTTGAGAGTTGGGTGATTGCTCTAGGTATTAGGCCAAACAAACCCTCAATGTATCTTTAACTCATTATATGATTAAGTAATCACATTTTAGATTGTCAAGTCCTCTGGGTGAACCATCCAAGAAACAAGACTCGTGCAGTTTCTTCTGTTGTCAACAAACCGAGAAATGGAAGATGTATTTCTCTTCTTTAGCTTGATACAGTTTATGCCTATAATGAAGTATTACTCTAATTGAATAATATTTTGAAACATAGGAACTCGCTGTTGAACATGTGACACTTTCTCCTGTTGGCTAACCTTAGCTGAATTAACATGTTTAATTACAGTAATTAAACCAATCACAATTGATGAAGCATCATTGGTGATGGATAAACATAAGATCCCACGTGGATTGCTTACTGTTGAGTGGAAAACGCGGACAAATGTTTGGGCAGAGGAGGCGGAGTTGTAAAACAATGACTGCCAAATAGACATCGTACAAAAAGTACAAATCTCGATGATCTTTAATTAGCTGAAACATGCGAATCCAAAAATGAATATACATCCTTCGTTTTAAATGTTATTCAAAATGGAGGGACCACACAGTATCATGGCACTATCATGATGCACACTGCACTCTCAAATTTAACTGTCATAATATTAGCATCACTGAGATAATCCCAACAATACTGTACCATGCGGCTGAATTTTTCTGTCTCATCTTATTATACTGGTATCAACAATACTGTACCATAAGGCTGAATTTTTCTGTCTCATCTTATTATACTGGTATCAAAAAAAAATTACCATCAGGCTGAATTTTTCTGTCTCATCTTATTATACTGGTATCAACAATACTGTACCATAAGGCTGAATTTTTCTGTCTCATCTTATTATACTGGTATCAACAATACTGTACCATCAGGCTGAATTTTTCTGTCTCATCTTATTGTACTGGTATCAACAATACTGTACCATAAGGCTGAATTTTTCTGTCTCATCTTATTATACTGGTATCAACAAT